ATTGATGGAATAAATAAACAGTAAGGAAGAGGAAAAGTCTGTAGTACAAGGCTAATTAATTAATATGGAAGGGTAACGGAAGTAGAGTGTCACCATTAGGGAAACGCCTGCTAATAAGCTTTGCAGGCCAGAATCATCGACAGATGTCGAAATTAGAGGACAGATACGTGATGAGAGACAAGATACTGCATCATCTCAAAGTAGTTCCCCCGCGTGAAACTTGTTCATTATGAGGAGAAAAACAGTAACTTTACCTTGGAGCAGCCTGGCAAATACCACCTTAAGCCAGTAGCCAAAGTGAGCACCACAAGTAACGGGACATATTGGCATCAGGTACCTCCTAATATGCTCCACTGAGAAGAATGCATCACTTCTGTCCTGTTCTTAACAAAAATACATAACCTCAGTCTAATAGTGAGAAAACATCAGCCAAACCCAAACTGAAGGACATTCTACAAAACAGTGGTCAGTATTCTTTAAAATGGTTGACATTATGAAAGACAGAGACTGAGGACCTGATACACAGATTGAAGAGACTAAGGAAACATAGCTAAGTGCAATGTGGAATCCTGGATTGGATCCTGGGCCAGGAAGAAGACATTATGAGACCACTGGCAAAATCGAACAAGGTCTGCAGATGAGCTGACAGCTTTAGTGGTAGCTTCCTGGTTACAGTCAATTTACTATACTTATGTCACATTAGGGAAAAGTGGGTGAAAGGTATATGGGGACTCCACTATTTTGCAATTTTCTGTATGACTAAAATTATTTTTAAACAAAAAGTTGAAAAAAGAAATAGGTTATGTAATTTATCACTGGGTTGCTTTTTCATAGAGAAGTAATCCTAAGCCCTGCTGAACTGAAAATTTCAGAATAATTTTCTAAAACCTAAGAACTAATCAGTTAAAATTGTTTAAAATCAGTAGTTCTTCCCCCCTCCGCCTGATTTGGTGTAATCTAACTCTGGGACTTTTTTTCTCAATCACCTGAGAGAAGCAAATCTGTTGTTCATTTGACAAAAGAAATGGAACTTACCCCTTATCTTTAGCTAGATGGTTAAAACCAGAGAAAGCATCAAATGAGGCTTTAAACAGAGTTGAGAGTCTAGTTGCTGCTCTGATTCTCCAAGCTGCCTTTAAAGCTGCAAGCTGTTAAACTGAAAACTGTTTGCTACGTTCCTATAAATCTAATGTGCAGCTTTAGAGGTGTTCTGTGGTGCTTTGAAAATGCAAAGTCAAGGATCAGGCCCAGGGCATGAAATACACAAAGGATTCAGCATATAAATTGACTTACTCCATTAGCCACTTTTTTAAAGGCCTAAGTAAGCTTTTCTTGAGTTAATATAATACAAAATAGCTGAACCAGGGTATTGAAAATGTCTCCAGAGGCGGACTCAGGAGCTTAGGTTCAAGTTCCGTTTTCTTTCTTTTTTTTAATAAG